GCATTTTGTTGTTTGGAGATTCAGTTCTCAGGCCGGAAGAGACCCGTTAAACCAGTGGGATAGAGGGTGCCCATCATGGAATTCTCCCCTTGGACTTCAATAGTACTTAGCTCAGTGTTTCTCAACCTTGGCAAGTTGAAGATGTCTGGACTTCAACTCCCAGAATTCCCCAGCCAGCATTCGCTGGCTGGGGAATTCTGGAAGTTGAAGTCCGGACATCTTCAAGTTGCCAAGGTTGAGAAACACTGAGCTAAGTACTATTGAAGTCCAAGGGGAGAATTCCATGATGGGCAACCTCTATCCCACTGGTTTAACGGGTCTCTTCCGGCCTGAGAACTGAATCTCCAAACAACAAAATGCAAAGGCTAACAGCTATGTATATATGGAATGGCTTTACACACAGTTCTTGACTTGTAATAGTTTCGTTTCTTCGCCGCTCCAAGTTAACCACGGGACTGAAAAGGAAGGATTTGCAACTTTTTCAGATCAGCAACATTCATATTTATGATGATTGTAGTGTCTTAGGATTATGGGATCACCTTTTGAGACCTGACAAGGAAAGTCAGTGGGGAAGCCAGATTCACTTAACAACCCATTAAGTTAACTAAATCAGCGATTCATTTAACGGCCAGCAAGAAAGGTGGTAAAATGGGGCAAAATTCAAATGTCTTGCCGATGGAAATTTGGGGCTCGATTGTAAGTCGAGGATTACTTCACGAAAGTGAAATAGTTGTAAGCCATTGACCCTGCGTTGAATGTGAGCTGCTGGATGGTCACTACAGAAAAGGGGAGTACGTAGAATTTATGGGTGTCCAAAGTGAAGAAAAAAATTTGTAATTCGCAATTTAATGGGTTTATATGCTGCCCAATCCCCGGGGGACTCGGGGCGGCTTACAAATACGAATGAAATAACACACAGCGGGAGAATACAAACAGTATTAAAAACAACATACATCCGGTTTAATTGGGGGTTGAACCTGATTTGAATCAGCAACCCCAGGCCTGCCGGAACAGCCAGGTTTTGGTGGCTTTTGGGAAGGCCGCAAGGGTGGGAAGGGTCCGGATCTCTGTTGGTAGCTTGTTCCACAGAGCCGGAGCAGCTACAGAAAAGGCTCTCCCCTGACGTGACCCGTCAAAACCGCGCCCGATTAAACTGCGTCACTGACGTCATCAACAGGGCGACAACAGCCAGCGGGGAGAAAGAAGGGCGCTTTAAATAGCGCTTTGAAAGCAAGCCGATTCAACTTAAGGTAAGGGTTCGGTTAAGGGTTAGGGTTAGGTTAAGGGTTAGGGTTAGGATTAGGTTTAGGGGGTTAGGTTTAGGTTTAGGGGTTAATTTTAGGTTTAGCGTTTACAGCGTGCTGTAACCGCGCTGTTGTCGCCCTGTTGATGACGTCAGTGACGCAGTTTAATCGGGCGCGGTTGTGACGGGTCACGCCAGGGGAGAGCCTTTTCTGTAGCTGCTCCGGCTCTGTGGAACGAGCTACCAACAGAGATCTGGACCCTTCCGGCATTCCCAAAAGCCACCAAAATCTGGCTGTTCCGGCAGGCCTGGGGTTGCTGATTTAAATCAG